ATATCACTGCTTTTTTCTGATGTTTTTCATAGATCGCGGCTATACATTATTTTCCTATGGAATGAAGTGTTGGAACCGACCTAGTTTGTTCACCTTATGGGGATATTAGCTCTCTGTGGATACGACTAGAATACAAAGATATAAATAAGACATGATAGTTCAGGTAAAGGAATTAATTGCCGTTCACTGCGTTGCAGTCAACTTGATAATGGGCATATCGCTTTCGAAACAGGAGTGTGAAAAACTTCTAGATAGGGAGAGGCTTTTGTTTTATAAAAAATCAAATTCTCCAATAGTAGATTTCGGATGCTATCGTCTCAGACATACAGTTATATCCCTTTTTATGGGCGAGAAAAAATTGTTACCTTTCCCCCAGAGACTCTTATATGCTGTCCTGTGGGCCACGTTTCTCAACAAAGCTACATGTCAAAGCAATTAAAAAACAAAAAAAAAACAAAGAGTCGTCTAATCCAAGTTGAAAATTTTATTCAGCCTGCAGTTAGTTTTCATATCCGGAGAAGAGGGCACAATGCTCGTGTAACCTCCGTCACCACTGGATCGAAGGATAATCACATATGGTTGCTCCTCCCTCCCCAACCTTCCCCGAATGTGTCTTGATTCAAACGCCGTTTGAACGTCGTGTCAGTCAAATTCTCCACTGCTGATGCTGGAAGGGTATTCTAAACGGTCATCGATCTTCTCACGAGTCAAAACTAAATCGGTAGACTGATTGACTGAGGCTTCGATAACGTGAGAGAGCTCCCCGGCATGCTTTATCCTATCCGTAGATGAAAGTGATTCCCTTAGCCTCTCGACCTACATGACTCTTCAGGATCTTACTTAGACCGATCAAGTGCCCTCGTGCGCATCAATAAGCAACTGAGAACAAAACATTGGCACGCATACGAACTGCAGAGCTGGTCCCACCCAGTCCGACAACTACACCTTTTCCCATCAAGCTTTAGCCACAACCCGCAGTTCTTTAGCCTCGACGCACAACCTTTAGTCACACCGCTGTAGGCGAGTCAGAACAGAAGCTATCGGAATATTCTGAGGTCAACGAATCTTGAAAAAAATTATATTTTAAAAATTTTGATACTGCAAAGCTTGACTAATAGATGAGAAGGTGTGGCAATCGTATGCTGCACAGTTGACTGTAGTAACGGTATCAAATGCCACACAGTGATTGGAGTAGGTTAAGACGATGTGCCCATATCGTCAACCCATTTGGTGCATCTCGTATGCCGTCTTCTGCTTGAATCAACCAGTTTTTAATGTACTAAATAATAAGCGAATTAAATGATTAAAATCGCCTACCTGTTTGAATTTACTGAAGATCTCTTCCAATGGATTAAAGAAGGAATTGCACTGTGGGAGAAATCGGACTTGGTGGTTGACATTTAACTACGCATCCAAAGCTCTCCGATGAAC